TTTAAATGCGTGTAAACGATTTAGTGAAAATTTATTGGCTTATAATAATTATGTTTTTAAAAAATCCTTTATTGATTACTTTATAGATTCAAAATTTTAAAAGGAGAATACTAGCCTTAAAGTATTTCAATATTTGAAATTAACAATATAACAAAACTAGTCCAAAATTTAGTCTTGGAATGTAAATCTGCATGCCATTTTAAAACCAGTATATATATATACTTGTTGCTACATATATTTATATATATACATATATATACATACATACATATATACATATATAAATATATATATATATATATATATATATATATATATATATATATGTATGTATATATATAAATGTATATATATATATATATATATATTTATACATACATACATACATACATACATACATACATACATACATACATACATACATACATACATACATGCATACATACATACACAACCCTCAGAATTAGGGTCAAACACTTTAGGTCGGCAATGCCGACCTTAAAGTGTTTGAGGTTGGCAAAAAATTGCCAACCTCAAAAGTTGGTAAAGTATTGCCAACCTCATTTTTCCTAACTATGAGAGTTATATATATATATATATATATATATATATATATATATATATATATATATATATATATATATATATATATATATATATATATATATATATTAGGGCTGTCCAAAAAAATATTTTTTTTCAGATTTGATTGCATAGTTGTTTATTTTGTGCCATTTGACATATTAATTAACTGTGCAAAAAATCTTTCCGATCAGATAATGTTTAGGGGGTGCTCAATGACCATAAAGTTTTACGAAAAATGTGAAAAACATGGAAAAAGTAACAAAGTTCCACAAATTTCTAAAACCCGGTTAATTAGATTTTTCAGATTTGATCAGTTTTAATTATCTCTAAATATTAAATTCTGAATACAAATTACAATCCACATCCACTTTATACTGGTTTATTAGCAGAGAAATTAATGAAATAAAATACTGCAACACGACTAAAGTTCTGCGGTTTTTGTTATATCAGAATTTTTCCAAAATAAAACACTAAGATTTTTGACTCTTTGTCATTGATTAAAATACGAATTATAAACAAAAAAAATTATTGTAAAGGAGTAACAGTTTCTCAAACCGTTATCAACTACTAAGTAGGTCAACTCAAAAACATATGAGCAATTAACATTTAATTATCGTAATGTTATAGTTCGTGCAATGTTAATGCTAGCGAGGACTATAACTCTTCAGAGTACACTTTCTGGCATCTGGCACTCGCTTTCTGTGATCCTCAACCACCTGAATTAACCTCTGCATTTCAGATTCATTCCTTCTAATCGATTCATTAAACATCGACATTAAAGCCACAGATCGTTCGGCAGCATCATTTACTACTTTCAATGAATATACTAAATTTTTTCCTTCTTGGTATTCTGGGGAATCATTCCAGGTAGCTGGATCGTTGTTGAACAGAAAATCAATATCAACCTTCATTGACCGCAACGCACTTGCTGAAACTGATGTCACCAGCATGTCCAGAGATTTCTTCTCTAGACTTTCAATGTTTTTTAATTTGATCAACCTTTCAGACCAGTTCTCACCGTGAAATTTCATGTTGGAAATCATTTTTCGCTTCTCTTCCGTTTTAAGTTTGTTTGAAAACAAAGCTAGTGGGACTAATTCTGGTGAAAGGTACCACAAATGGTTTTGAAATTTCTTGACTGCCGCTTTGGAAATCGTTTTATTCACAACTGCAAACTGCTTAAGTTGCTAAAACAGAAACAAGTCATTAATTGGAGCATCGCTGGCATTTGGGCATGATATCCAAGATTTTACATAAACCAGACTAGCAAATAAGCAAAATTCACAGAGATTTTTTTCCTCTTTTGTGGTCAACTTGAACTCTTCACGAAATAAATAAATCTTAAAACAATAAATAACCTTGGCCATCCAGCGAGCCATGTGATAAGCACCAGGGATCTTGAAATGATAATTTTTTTCTTCTTGATCCGGCAGTTTTCCAAGTATTAACAGACAGAGATCCATGATTTCTTTGTAGTCATCTCTTGGCATTTTAACATGCAGGTTTTCTTTGAGGAATGCCATCACTTCATTTTGTAGTTCTTGCGCCAGGGGTATTTTCATTCGAATGTCATCCAGAGGTTTAAAATTTCCTTGATTAACTTTGGGCCAATATTGCTGAAATCTCTGGAAAAGAGGTATGTTAAGACCAGATGATGGTCCAAATAGTGATCCAAACACTCCTGCTACTATGATCTCATGAACATGGTGTCTGCAAGCAAAATATAACAAATTTCTACCTATATGTTTCTCTAGAACTACACATGCACCATTTTCAGAGCCAGTGTTAGAGGCTGTAGTATCAAAACTCATTCCAATAACATCACCAATTATGTCCCAGAAATTAAGCAGATGAATAACTGCTTTTGCTTGGGCTTCTCCAGTTCCAGCTGATAGTTTTGCTATTCCAAGTATTTTGTCAACATTGTGACCTGTCACACCTACAGATAGCCGGTCAACATTTGCTTTAGGGTCTGCAGAATTTGTACGATCTATCGTCAGTTTCCATCCCAGTGGACGATTAATGGTGGTTTGTCCAAATTGCAGAATTCAGTTCGAACAGTGGCTTCAATGTTTGATCGATGATAGGTTCGTTTTCTACGGACTGTAGAACGTGACAATGATCCATCATCGTTGTTCTGTCCACCAGCCCTTGCAATTGCTGCTGCTAGTATAGTAAATTTTGTGTCAGATAGATTAATTCTGTCTAATGTTGATGAAACATCAGGCGAGTCAAGAATTGTATCTAAGATACATTGTCGTTTTGGAGTACTTGCTAAACTTGATTCAGCTGACCCTGAAGAACTTGCTTTATTGACTTGTTGTCTGTAATAAACAGGGATTTCTATCTCAAAATCTCTATCAACCATTTTGTCATTATCAACAGCATCGTTATCGTTGTCATCACTATAACTTTCGTCATGTAAAGGTTCAATAACAGGAACTATTGCACTCGCACCAGATTGTCTTTGCTCTTCTTTTAGCTTTCGTTCTCTCTCTGCTTGTTTCCTTGCTTCATTTCTTGCTTCTAATTTTAAAAGTTCTTTGTCCTCTCCAAACATCACCATTTTTCTCTGACATCTCTGATCCAATAAAAATTCTTTATCTTCTTCAATTCTGATCATGGTTTCAGCATCCTTGTGGGCAATGTCAAAAAGTAGGCCAATGGTGTCTGTAAATGATTTCTCTTTTGATTTCTGAGAATCTGACAATCTGGATTTTTTTTTTTTTATTAATTTAAATTCCTGGACTAAAGTTTTCAACTTTAAGACTACATTCGGATGAAATGCTGTCGGAATACGGGCTTTATTCCAAATAATAATCAGTTCATCAACAGTTGTTTTAAGACTTTCAGGCACTGACTTTTTGGTTGAATTAAGATGATAAAAAAATGTTTTTAAAACATCAGATGTTAAGGGAAGAACTTTATCTGTAAGATTTGGCTCTGGTTGTCCAATTAAAAAGATTTCGGTTTGAAGTCGTGTAGAGATAGCAACACGAGATGATGCTGCCATTTCAATGATAACTGAAAAATTATGAGAAAATCAAAACTCAATACCATATTATACAAACTTATCATTCAGTTGTTGGTTTATGCAGCTGCAGCAATATATAATAATAATTATTACTAAAGAAATTAAATAAATATTTTCAAATTAGAAATTATTATTATCTGCACTTAATAACAAACAATACACTACCAGACTACCATGCTAGTTTTCTGTAATAGGTTACTAAGGTTAGGTACTATCAAAATATTAATACATTTGTTGTCAAACTGAAATTCCAAATAAAAATAATATTTATGCTTGTAAACCTTTTTATTCTGTTTGAACAAATTCTAAATTGAGTTAAATAATAGTATTAAAATTATGAATACAACTTTGAACAAAATGATATAAACACAGTTGTTTTAAACACTAGCAGACATTTTTTAGTCTGGTGCCCTGATGACAGTTAATCTGCTGCACTTTAATTAATCTATATAGCACGCAATCAGACAATATTTCAGTGGGAAAAATCTAACTAACCAGGTTCTAGAAATTTTTGGAACTTTGGAACTTTTTCCACGTTTTTGACGTTTTTCATAAAACTTTATGGTCATTGAGCACCCCCTAAACATTATCTGATTGGAAAGATTTTTTACACAGTCAATTACTATGTCAAATGGCACAAAATAAACAACTATGCATTCAAATCCGAGAAAAATTTTTTTTTCCTGTGTTCACATGAACAGCCCTAATATATATATATATATATATATATATATATATATATATATATATATATATATATATATATATATATATATATATATATATATATATATATATATATATATATATATATATATATATATATATATATATATATATATATATATATATATGTATATTTATATATTTATATATATGTATATATATATTTTTATATATGTATATATATATATATATATATATATATATATATATATATATGTATATATATATATATATATATATATATATATATATATATATATATATATATATGTGTGTGTATTTATATTTATATTACATTGACTGTTGCATTTAAAAACAAATAAGCAATGTTAAATAAATAACATACTGTAAAATTAAAATATATAAGAATATATTTTTAGAAACATCTTTATGCTTTAGAATAAGTGCATTCTCATTTAGTATTTACATGAAAGATATAATTCTATTTGTAAACTCTGTTTTACTTTAATGAAAATTTTAAGTTGTGTATTTTAAGTATCGCCTTTCCAATCAAAACCCTCAGTCAATGAAACTCTTTATCATTTTCTCCCTATATCAGCCAATGTATGTATTGACGCCTTTACAACTCCCTAATTCAGTTTAATGTCAGATTACCAATAAAAATCATACACATCATAGTTAATAATGTTTTTAGACAACTTCTTCTGGAGCTCCATTTTGGTCAGGTCCAAAACGATGTCCATCTCCTATAAAATTTGATTTTTCTGTCGATTTGCACCTTGATTTTGTCATTGCAGCAGCAAATTTGTTTGCATATAACTATGGGATAAAAGGTATTAATAACTTTAACTATATATTGATACTTATATACTGGATTTGTTACATATTATAACGATAAAACATAGTTTACTCTTACTTAAATGAATAATTTATTCTTTTAAAGGCTCAGTTGATAGAAGCTACATTCAAAGTCTAGTTAAAAATGTTATTGTGCCTGAATTTGTGCCTAAATCAGGTATAAATGCTTTTTATTTTTTTAAAATTAGAACATTTAGGTATATAACTTCCAGCTTTATGTTTAAATAAAATTGGATATATTTCATAATAATATGTGATAGCAGGTAAACTATCTTGAATTTAGACCAAGATAGTACTTGTCAAAAGTTACAGTTTTATGAATTGTATTTTGAATAATAATCAGTTACTAATTTTATAGTGTAATCAAAAAAAGTTTAATAATTTTTTATTAGAAAAAATTTTTATTAGAAAAAGAAGATTGTTTTACTTCTGTAACATCTGAAAATTAGAACAGTGAAATAAGACATAAACAAGACTGTCAAACTGAAGGAATTTATTATTTAAAAAAAGTTAAATTAAGTTTTGAAAAAAAATAAAATGTAATCACTATTATTTAACACATCAGTTAATTTTTTATTTATTTATTTATTGGAGTTCACTGATACTCAAAAATCAGAAATACCACAAAGAAGCAAAAAGGAAATGATCATATACAAACAATATTCGATCATTTCCCTTTAATACAACAAAAAAGAGGGTTCAAATTTTAGAAGCATTTAATCATAAAGTGAAGAATTTGCTAAGAAAATCCACAAATAATTTCAATTGCAACCATTTAGAATATTGAGGAATATAAATAAGCTAATTTTGTTTTAATTAAAAGAATAATCTGAAAGATGCAAAGTGTCGTATAACTCGTTTGAAAGGTATGTGGTTATTTAAAAGTTATAAAAGTTCCATTTTTATTGACAAGAGCTGTTTCATATTAAGCAGTTTTCTCCAAGCTGGTAATGTAAGTAGTTATTCAAATAATCAGACAACAGATAAGTTCAAGCATTATGATAAAAGATAACTATTATATAACTATTAGTTGTACTAATAATAGTGGTAGTGGTAATAGAAAAAAGTTTTGTTTTTGAATGTCAACTGCTAATTTTATTTTAATTTTAGCTAGTTCAATTTTTCTTCAAGACAATAAAATAAATTAAAGAGAATTTACATGTCATAACTCATTTAATGTTTAAAACTGTTAATTACTAACTGAACATTAGAATTAAAAAAATTGAAACTCATTTTAAAGACAATGAGTCTTTAAAGACAAAGAAAAATTGATTTTTAAAAAAATATAAAGATTTTAAAATATTTATTTAGAGTGGTGTTAACTTTTGCTTGTTAGCAAAAACGGTTTTTTTTTAAGAAAACTTGGCCCAGTGGGTTTTTTTGGTTTTTTTATTTTTGTTAAAAAATTTTTTTTGTTTGTTTAATAATATTGAAAACTAATATCATTTTTATTTTATTTTATATTTTAATTAAGTATATTTTATATTTTATTTAATTAGTTTAAATTTGCTCAAACGTTTTTTTTTTAACATTCTCTTTAATATGAACACAACATGTCTCGGGACTTGGTAGTCCCTTTAAGTATATTTTATATGTTTTTAAAATTTATAACAACACCTCAAATTATTTTCAATAAGTTTTTTTTACAAAAAAATTAAAAATGTAACAAAATAAATAAAAAAATCATGATAAACCTATCCGTATTGATTTATTTTAGATTTAATAATAATTTTTTTATAACTAAAAATGCCGATGGGAAATGGGAGAAAGATTGCTGGAGAATAAGATGAAGTGGCTGAAGTTGAAAACAGTACAAAGGTTTCTTGTGTCTATTATCAAGCTTTAATCAGCAACAAGATAGAACGAGTAAAGCCCCATTTAAAACAATGCCAAAAAAAGTTTTTACACAATCGTACAGAAGGGGACAATCTCAATTTGTCAAAATATTTAAATGAAAGTTGTGATGATGTACCAAACAATGATTTAAATATTAGTGCTCTAATAACTGGACCATCATCTCAATTGGAAAAAGTTCTTTGGCATCTGTTAGTTCTATAAGTTCGCCAACACCTTGTAAGAAGCAGCATTTGATGTCATCATACACAATATCAGCTAATATGGAACAGAATGAAAATATTGATATAAAAATAGCAAAATTTTTCTGAAGTGCAAATATATTATTTAAAACTTCTGAAAATCAAGAATTTATAGACATGATCTATCCATTGAGACCAGGATATAATCCACCTAACTGTAAAATGCTTGGAGGAGAGCTCATAAAAAAAGTTTACGAGGAAGTAAACAAAAAAATGTTTCTTTTTTAGGTAGGATGCTTTTTCAGGCAACAATACAAAAGTTGTGCTACAAATTTTTTAATGCAACAATTTATTTTTTCAAAAATCTTTTATAACCATTTGTGTGTATCTACAAGTTAGCTAACTTTAATGAAGTCGACTTGCTGGAAATTTTGGTAATACTATTAAATTTTCTAATTGGACCACTATAAAGACTTGGGAAAAGTCTTTTTAGTGGTCCAATTAGATAACACTTTTAAAAAAAATTATTTTCTTTCAGAAAAAAAATTAAAGAAGCAATAAGGGTTGTTGGTTTCTCCATTTTTTTTTTTCACAAAGAAAAAATTTTAGATTTGGCACATTAAAATCTGTAAACTACAATTATCAGTTCAGAGGCAAAAGAAAATCGGCGATCAAGAAAAGGATGATCACTAAGAAAGTAATGTAATGAATCCTAGTTACCATTAAGGTAATAAGAAGTAAATTGATAGGGTGAACCCAATGGTAAAGAAATATGAGCTAAAAGTTCTGGTGAGATCATAACATAGTCTGATCTGATAACCAAGAATTCATGCTTAGTTTCTAACTTAAGTTAGAAACTAAGTATAAATTAGAGTCAAGGACAAGACATAAGTTAAGAAGTGAGTTAAAGATTGTCTGAAAAACACAAATTCACAAAGTTAACTATATGAATAAGAGACAGAGGAAGACACAAATTATTAATATAAAATGATTGCTGCGCAAAATAATTTATGGGAACTTATACTGAATACTGGGTGAAGGTGATTTGGAAAATCTTGATGAGTCAGTGTTATTTACAACAAAATTGCTACATACTTGACATCCAAGAAAAAAATTCCAAGTTGTCAATAATTGACACCATTAAAAGAATGTGAGTTTTATCTGATCCATTTATTTAAAAGATATTTTGATAGCTAATGCCACAAACAAAATATATAAAGTAACATTTTATCTAATGGTGGCAGGTGTTTTGAAATGTTGGCCTGTTAATATGTAATATATTTTAGTAATTCTTTAGTTAATTTTTGTTGTTTTTTTAATTGGTATACTTAAGTTTTAAAATAGTTATAAAATATTGCAAAACATAAAAAATTAATAAATTTTTGATGTTAAACTTAATAAAAATTATTTAAATGAAATTTTAAATTTGTTATTGTAAAATCAAACTATTTTACTGTTTGTCTTTTTAGTTTTTTTGTATTTTCCTAAATCTTCATTAAAGATCTTTTAACTCACTAAAATTCTACTCACTAAAAGTCTGTGTTCATCAGGCTTGTTCGGGAACCGGGTGCAAATGCCCTCTATTACTAAACTAGAAAATAATATTTAGTTGCAACAACTTGGCCACATTTATTAGATGTTTTGAGAACATTTAATGTATTTTTAAAATTTTTTTTTTGCGGACCTACATGGAAACATGCATTGAGAACATTCAAGTTTATGAATTTAAAAAACTTGGTTTTACGGACATACATAAAAACATACTAAAACTTAAATGTTTTCAAAATATCTTGGTGTGGAATAAAAAATATCCACAAACACTAAAAACCTGCAAAAACTAATTCTATTGGTCCAAAAAATACGCTGACTATGCGAAATATGTATTCTGTCTTAAAGATTGTATTATTTAAGTTCGATTAAAATTTCTAGCGTTGTTATAAGAATATGTTATCAAATGATTATTTTAATTTAATATTTTATTTAAATTTAATTTTAATTATTTTAATTTAATTTAATATTTAAATTTACTTTATTATTTTAATTTATTATTTTAATACTATTGCTCATTCACAGAGATACATCTGCAAAGGTGTAAACATTTTACACTATTGATATTACAAAAATAGAAGATTTGAATATATATTTTAAATTTTCAAAGTTTTATAAAGTTTGTTATATACATTATATTTTAATAGTATATTATTAATTTTTAATATAAAAAGTATGTTTTTTTTAAGTAAATAAAATCTGATGTTTGCGTTTTTTATGTTAATGTATTTCTTTTAAAGCAATTGGTACAATTTATTTTGTAAACAAAAAGACTTTAAACAGCGGCTGCGTTTTCAATGAAGTTATCAATAATTATCAAAGTTAATAAAACTTACTATGAATAAACATACAAGAATAAACTTTTCAAATTACGCGAAACATGAAATAGTCATTAAGAAATATTAATTTTTTTTTATTAAACAGTTCAACAAGCGTTAGTTTTATTAGAATCTTGTTGAAGACTAAAGTATATAAATAATAGAAATTATATTATACTTTTGATAAATAGAAGAACATTTGTTTCTTAAACAATCATTAATAGTAAGTTGTGACCTTATATTTAAAATGTCACATAATTTATAAAAAAATTATAAAAATGCGAAGTTAAGAAAATATTAGTTCTAAACGTAATTCATTTTGTTTCAAGTTTTTATTTTGTGTTAAAAGTTATTTACATTTCGATGTACATACAGGGGGGGGGTTAGGGGGTTGTTTTTATTTCTCAATTGCTCTTTGTTTCACACAAATTTTTATATAAAAATTGAGCAGAATGTTTGCTATGAACATATAAAATTATACGGTACAGGCCTGCTTTCTTAGTTAAGTTTTTTTTTTGTAATTGTCTCATCTGTCCAGTTAAATCTTTCTTATCATTTTTTTTTTGGAAATTTTCTTAAAAAAACTAAAGAGTCATGGCCAAATTGTCGCAATTAAATATTATTTGCGTGGTTAGGAATCGAGTACAATCCCATCCGCTTTCTGACCAAGCCTGCTTTATACTTACAAAATTCAATTAACACAACAACTCAAGCCTAATGACCTAATGACACAGTGGAGAGAGTTTGTCAAATGGATTATTGAGCATCAACATATAAATGCTGATTTTTCAAGGAAAATCGTCTTAAGGGATGAAGCATATTTTCACATGGATGTGGTTGTTAATTGCCAACATTGCCGCTTTTGGGGTTCTGAGAACCCATATGTGAATGTCAAAAAACAAATGCACCCACAACGTGTCACCGTTTGGTGTGGGTGTTGGGCTGGAGGCATAATTGGACCATACTTTTTTGAAAATAAGGCGATTACTGCATGAGACATTTCCAGGTTGTGTAATTCTCTTGTTTCAGTGAATACAGTTTTTAGCTTTCTGTACCATATCCTCTTGATCTAGCTACAAGCAACTATGGTTTCAAACTTGATCTTTTTGTGACATGTATATGCATATTTGACACCAATAATATTGTTAGCACATGATGTTTTTTAATCGTAAAATCATTTAGGTTACAGACTATTTTAGTAAAACATTTTCGAAGCACTTCTAATTTAGTTTACAGACTGTCTATTTAATGAAACATTTTCAAAACACTTCTTTAATATTCTTGTATGTCTGCTTTTATTTTTAACTGCTCTTCCCTAAAAAAATAAAAATTATCTTAAAAATAATTATAAATTTATTTTATTATTTCATGAATAATTATTTTTTAGGGTTCGGCAACATGCATGCATGCATGCGCATGTCATACATTACATGCACATGCATGCATGTACATGCACATGTAGATTAAGCTAGTAAATCAAATTTTATGCAAATCAATTGTGTTGAAAAACAACATAAAATTAATTTTCTAATACTTCTAATCGTAAACAACTTCAAAAACTTCAAGTTTTAGATTTTATTCAATTTCAAATTCAATAATTAGCTGCAAAATACACTCAATCTATGATAACTTTTTATGTCTTATTCTGCAAATTCTCGCTCAAGTTCTTCGATCATAGCTCCTTCATCTTGTATATAGTCATTTTTGTCACGAGTATTCATCAGTACGTTATTTGTATATAGAAAAACTAGCTTCTCTACTCGTTCATTTGTTAGACGATTTCGAAGGCGTGAATGAATAAATCTGAAGATCGACCAAGTTCTTTCTGCTGCAGCTGATGTGCATATCATCTCATTGATGGAAACTGCCACTTGATAAAGTTCTGGATACTTGTTGCGACCAATAATGCTCCAATAGTTTTTTGCGCTCATTTTGTAAATTGTATCCTTTCGTTTCTGGGGCAACCTAGTCATTTCTCCACTAAACTCGATCAGTTGTTTTCGCACTTTGTCAGCAATATCCGGATGAATTTCGCTTGTTCGATCAAACGTGGCTGTAATAATGTCAATTTTGTCATCTCCAAAATAAAAGCCGTCTGCTGCGTGCTTTGGCGTAAGCATGTAAGCTAGTCCCATGGCTGGCGTGAAAATAAAATCGAGTTGCGACTGAACTTTTTGTTGAATACCCTCGTAATCATCATAATGGTTGAAGAGCTGACCAAAATAATAGTAGACAAGTGAGAGCGGAGCTTCATCAGCTTCCAACTTTCCGATCATTTTGGAAGGAAGTCAATGTCTTTAACTAACTTTCCCAAACGAGTCCAAAAGGCAGGTGATTTGATTAAAGTCAGGACTGCTGCTGATGTGGTTTTGGGTTGAATTTCTTTTAATGCGTTGTTTTCCTTGTCAGCTAGCTTGATCAAAACATACTTGGAGAGAAGAAGAGAGTTCATCGCATTGTACAAGCTAAACCAGCGTGTAGCAACAGGCATGCAGAGAGATTGAGTGACATTTGCTGTACGTCGATATTCATCAAACATTGACTTGACCATATGGTGGTTTTTGATAAACTTGATGATCTTTTCCGACTCTTTGATTGTTTTTGCAGCTTCTGTGGTACTGGCGATGTCTTTAATTAATAGATTCATGCCGTGGCCGCTACAACCACTTGCTGAGATGTGTGGGTATGTTTCTTCAATTATCTTCCATGATGACTTCATAACAGGTGCATTATCAGAAATAAAGCTGCAGAACTTTTGTGAACCAATCTTGTCGATGACTTGGACGATAGCAGCAGCAACTGCAACTGAGTTCTGAATGATTCCGGAGGTATCGATAGATGAATAAAAAATAGCTTTTTGACCCGGTGCCTTCAGGCAGAAATTAACAATGTGATCACCTCTGATGTTTGTCCAACCATCTGACATCAACGTTAGATTACCGTGAGATTGGATGATTTCATCAACAGCAGCAGAGCACTTATTAAAGTGCTTATCGATCAGCGGTCCTGATAAGGTCTTTGCACTCGGCATAGCAGCTGCGTATGCTGGATTGAGCGCCTTAACGAAATCCTTGAATGCATCAGATTCAACTAGTCGTAGAGAAATGCCAGTTCTATAGAAGCAGTTTGATAATTTTATGTCAACATCTGCCTTCCATTCTCCATTTGTTGTGTCAGCTACATGTGAAAGCGATTCTTGTGAGGCTTCCATCGGTTGAGTGTGTTCATTTTGAGAGGATGTGGAAGGGTGTGCTGGTGATTCTGATTTGCGTTTCGAAAACAGTCGTTTTTCTTCGAGACTGGCATTTGGACAGGATGATCTTTTGTGTGCTGCAAGACGTTCTTTGGACCACTGGACACGTTTATCACATAATTTGCACTTGCCATAATTAGTTTGACGATTGTAGTCGGTTAAATATTTTGCGACTTCGATTTGACTCATTATAGCCTTTTTCTAACGAGAAATGATTTTCTAATTAAATGTATATGATTCAAATGTATACAAATCATTACTTACGATAGTTTTTGAAGCAAAATAATAGAGAAAAATGAGTCAAAACTTAAATTAACTTTAAAAATATTTCAAAAGAATGACCTTATTAAATTTAAATTTTTTGTTACCGTTAATCTACATGCGCATGTACGTGCGCATGTACATGCCCATACATGCGCATTTTTAACATGCGCATGCATGCATGTAAATTTCCGAACCCTATTATTTTTTCACTCCATGTGTGCAAAAATATTTATATTTAAGGTGTAAAGATTTCAGTTACAGAAGCAGAGGCAGCTAATGCAGGTGTTGATGTTGGTAAGTTTCTCTACTTTTAAAATTATTTTATTATTTTAAATTTTTACATTTTTTCCAGAATTACACTTGTAACAACATTTTTAAATTTATTATTCATAAGACAAATTTCAGGACTACTACTAGACTAATATTTGATTACTTATAAAGTAAATATTTAAAAAGAGTTCTTATAAATCTCCAATATTAAAATTAGCAATCACGTTCATTTTATTTTTATCGAAATTTGTTCATTTTCACTTTTCAAGTCAATTAAAGAAAAACAATGTTTAATTTAATAATCAAAAATAAATTTTCATATACAGAAATAATAAAGTAACAAATAAGAAAAATACTATAATGAAGGGAATTTTATAAAGAGATAAGCTTTTTATAAAGAGAAAGAATGTCAATAACCAATAGCAGAAAATTAAATTTCAATGAACATTATTTTTGATTTTAATACAATTGCTATCTTTTGTAATAATTACTGTTACTCCTTCATACATCGCTAACTAAACTATTTATATAATACAATAGTTAAACTATTAATTCTTCATCCTTTATATACTTCATTTATTCTTCTTCTTTTTTGTTTTCATCCATTAATTCCTCATCCTTTATACTTTAAACTTTACCTCTCTTAGTACTCAGTCAAATGTTTAAAGGGATCCCTAAGTGCTCCTAACATATGATCACATATGAAAGAGCATAAAAAAAAATTTGTAAGTTTTCTTTCTTTTTCACTAAGTTGTAATAATAAATGCATGCTAACAAAAAGCAATTTGCGAAATCACTAAAAAACAACTCCATTTTGATTTTATTTTTTCACCATTGAAACTCGATTGTTAGTCGTTAAAAATCACGTTAGTACGTCACAACAACTTTAGAATATCTACTTCGATTTTCAAGTAAAAAAAAGTCGTGATTAAATAGTTAAGTTTTAATCAAGTTTTTTTAATTAGTTTTGCAAAAACAGTATAATAGCATTCAGTTGAAAGACGTCGTTAAAATAAAGTTATTAAGTAATAGGTTTAAATAGTTTCGAACTTATAAAAAAGTCTTACAGGGCTCGTATTAAGCGTATCGCAATTGCAACACACACTTTTGTGATTAGTTTTCTCTTAAAAAAAATCTTTTCGCAACTCATTTTTTTTTTTTTGGTTGGTTAATTACTTTTTCTCTAGCTTAGCATTTTTTTTTAGCAATTCTTAAAAGTAATGTTTTTATCATAAACAACGTCACACAAAATTTATTATTCTGAATAGATAGATGAATAGATGGTTTGCTCTTTCGCGTGGAGATTTTCTTTCAACGTAAAACATTTTTGAATTTAAATTACTTTAAATCTCTGCGTGGAATATTTTTACAAGGTTAAAGCGAAAAGTTGAAAAGTTGGTTTTTATCTTTGTTTATCAAAACTTCATGTTTAAAATAAGGCTTAAAAACGTTAGAGCAAAAAAATTACTGACTTTTATTTACATTTTTATACTGTTTGAAAAAAAAAAACTAATAAAAAAGAATTAATATATAGTTATTAATTAATATATTATTAGTTAATTCTTTTTTATTAGTTTTTTTTTCAAACAGTATAAAAATGCTAATAAAAACCAGCATTTTTTTTACTTTAACGTTTTTAAGCCTTATTTTAAACATGTAGTATAATTCGTTTTATTAAACCAAATTTTTTTGTTTTATCTTTTATTGGAAAACTTGAAATAGAAAAATTGAATAAAAACATCAACCATTTAAATGAAAAACTTAATTATATTTAAACTTTTATTAGTCCTTTATTCAAGAAACAATAAATTATAAAAAACGTGGTATCTAATTTTTTATTAAGTTTTTGACGATGTTTTTTGATTTATTGACGATAATTTTTTCCCCCCATTACCGCACATCGGCGCGAGCTATAAGAGAGAGGGGGGGGGAGAGCAAAAAAAAAATTTTTTTTTTTTGCGATTAGATTTTTTTGCGTTAATACGAGCCCTGTCTTAGTTTAATTTCTAATAAAATGTCTATTCAACCTTATCAATTTGAACTAAAAAAATATAGCAATTTAACATAAATGTTAATTTAACTAAAACATTTTACAATCATTATTTTTTTTATCAAGCTAAAATGAGAGTAACCGTCACTTTTGAAACCATAAAAACTACTGAAATAAATTTATTTTTTTACTAAGGCAATATTTTAAATAAACTTTCATATGTCTAAGTCAATATTCATTTGTTTTTAACTGACTAAAAAGAGTTTAAAATTTGACTTCTATTCATTTTTGGCCGTGGAATTGCCTCTATAACACAAATATATAAATTAATATTATAAAAAAAATTTTAATATACAAATATATTTTCACAAAATGCTACAAAACTTATTCTTGTAAGTAATTATGTGTTAGTTGAAAAAAAACGACTCTACTTTTAAATTTAATTACCAACTAATAAGTTTGCAATAATGACATTTTGTCTACTTTGTTTAATTTGACGTACAAACGTTAGTTTTTTGAGGCAGTAGAGTTAATAAACTTTTGACAAGACACATTTTTTTTAATCGAAGAAAAGCGTTTTTTTGAAAATTAAATTTGTTAGTGTGTGTTCATTATTACGTTTTAGAAAAAATATTATACATCAAACATTTTTTTTTTTATGCTCTTTCATATGAGATCATATCTTTATAGCACTTAGGGATCCCTTTAAAAAATGTAAAATTAATCAAAAAATAAATTTTTATTTTTTATACATTATTTGGTTATTAGTTAAACTTTATTTTTTTTAGATGAGCAAAAGGTTGAATCAATCAAATTAGCTTTACCACCACCAAATGATTTGAGAGGACATTTAAAAATGTATCCTGCTGAATTTGAAAAAGTTTGTTGTTTATTTTTTAAGAAAAAAGTTTTTTAACGTTTTTTAAAACTTTTAAAGTATTACCGTTTTTTGTTGTTGTTGTTGCTTTTTTTCATCTAAGTTCACTTTTAATATTGATTTAGTTCATGTTTTTTTATTTTTCAGGATGATGATACAAACTTTCATATTGATTTTATTGTTGCATGTTCTAATCTACGAGCAACTAACTACAAAATATCCACTGCAGACAGGCACAAAAGTAAACTTATTGCTGGCAAAATAATACCAGCTATTGCAACTACAACTTCAGTTGTTACTGGTTTAGTTTGTTTAGAGTTATATAAAGTAATTAATGGTAATAAAAAGATAGAATCATACAAGAATGGCTTTGTCAATTTAGCCCTTCCGTTTTTTGCATTTTCTGAACCCATGGCTGCCCCAAAAATGAAAGTAAGTTAAAAAAGATTTGTTAAAAAAGAAGTTTGATCTTACTTGAATAATTTTAGATGAGTTTGCTCTAATTTTTTCCTTATAAATAAATTTTTTAAAGTTCTACATACCAACTAAAGATATTTCAAAGTTTTTTTCGATTTTATTAATAAAATCATTTCATAATAAAATATGTTTTTTTAATAATTCTGTAAAAAAAAAAATGAATAAATTATAGTAATAAGTTGTTTGCAAATATAATAGCAAATGATATTTTTTAAATTCTTTTTTTAACAATAAAAAACAAATTAGTTGCATAGTTTTCAATAATTTTGAAAATTATTTTTAAAATTTAATTATTAAATTATTTAAGGTTTTGTTTACTAGCTGATTTTTTTGAGTATCAAATTTGTTTGGTTTGCAAAGACAACACGCATTTTATAAAAAGTATAACAAATTTGTTTGGTTTGCTAAGACAACATGCATTTTATAAAATTATATTAATGCTGCTAAATGAATTTTTATTCTAAATATATGTACAATTCATGCCTGTTTTTTTAAATCTTTTCCAGTTTTATGTTTTGATTTTTTTAAAGCCTTTCCATCCATCTCATTTTAAAAAGTTTTAATTGCATGTATTTTTAAGTCTAATAGGGATGTCTTAAGTTAGTTTAATTTATTTTTGTAGAAGTTAAGAGCAAATTTGATCATTTAAACATTAAAACATTTAACTAAGGTTTTAATTTATGAATTTGATTTTTCCATATAAATTATTCAAATTCTAAGGGAGAGTTAAGCTTATTAAGGACTGTCTGAAGGTATGTTTCTGTAAAACTCCATTGATGGAGTTTTATAATAAAATATTATAAGTATGTAATATTCTTAAATGATTATAGTTTTAAGTTTTCTATTGTTATAGTACAATGATCAAGTATTTACATTGTGGGACAGCTTTTTAATTGATGGTACAATGGAAGATGGTTCAGAAATGAATCTTCAACAACTTATGGATTATTTTATGGTAATTCATTTTTTAACTTTATAATTATGTAAGTTACAAGTATGTGCCCTTCCTGGCATTAGTCTATTTTAAGGACCAGCGAATATTTGTTAAAAATCGGATTACAGAGTTTACTGAAAGGCAAAGTTGACTTTGGCTTCAACTTCAGTGCTGAATTTGAAATAGAAATTCGGCTTCCAGTTAATATTTGTAACAATTTTAAAATTTTATTTAACTTTTAATTAAATTTAATTTTTGTTAATTTTTATCAATTAAAAAAAAATAAAATTGAATTATATGATATATTATAAATAAAGGTGTCTTACACAATCATTAATTGAAAAGTCTTCTTAAAGCATGAAATCTAATTTTTTTTATTACTCGTTAAAGAGATCCCTAAACCTCTGAGACATGTTATGTTCATATTAAAGAAAATGTTTAAAAAAAACGTCTGAGCAAATTATTTTTGATTAAAACTAATTAATAAATGTATACCGAGAAAAACAAATCTTGTTGTTTTAGTCGAAGCTCGTCTTCTCCGTTTTCTCTGCTATTTTGAGTATGTAAAATAAACGCAATTTTCCACGCGCATTATACAGACTTGATAATTTATTCAAGCGCGTTTAATTCATAGGAGTTTTAGTGCATGACGTCATAGATTTTTTTTTTGTTTATTTAAAACACCGATTGTTATTTTTTACATACAATTTCCAAAGCATATTCATTTTTATTATATTTTAAAGTTCTAAAATGTGTTTGTAAAACAAAATTAAAAACAAAATAAAATTAAAAACAAAAATAAAATAAAAAACAAAATAGTATTTTATTTGTGCAACTTTTTTTAAATAACCGTCTAGACCACGTGTATTTTGATTTCTTTTGTTATAAGTTTTTCTTTCAAAATATTAGATAAAATAATTTTTAACCTAAATAATAATGCATTTTTATTAATTTACTTTGTAAATATTAAAAAAAAAAATTATTAATGCATTTTTTCTCTGACTTTCAAAAATGTATTTTTTGGTATTGAGGTGATCTTATTTCATTATTTATATTTCCATTATAACATCCAATATATATTATGGCGGGGGCCTAAAAATTAAAAAATTAATATATATTAATTTTTTAATATATATTAATTTTTAACTTTAATGTTCTTAAAACATCTTGCGGAAGAATAAAAAGAATATTCGCGAACACTAAAAACCCGCCAAATTTGCGAACAAACTAATTCTATTGGTTCAAAAAACACGCTGACTAAGCGAAATAAAGTTCTAGAGTATTCTGTTGAAATGTTTTAGAAATTGTATTATTTACGATTTGTTGCGTTTTGAGATATCTAGTATAAATTTTTTTAAGAATATATTATCAAATGAACTATTACTTTAATATTATGACTCATTCTCGGAGCCACATCTGTAAAGCCGTAAAACTTTTAAACTATTATCATTTGTTTACAAAAATAAATGTTTTATAATATGTATTTTTTAAATTGTCAAAATTTCGAAAGTTAATTACAAATTATATATTTTATTAGTATATTCTTAATTTTTATATCTTTTCTTAGTGCTTGGTTTAATTAATTGTTCGTTAGATTTGTAAAAAACTAACGAATAATTAATAAAATAAACTTTTAATAAAATAAGTAACTATAGTTAGCTATTTGAGTAAAATTTAATAGTAAAATTTTAAAAGAATTTCTAGAATGTTTCCAATGACGTCATGCTCTAAAACTCCTATGAATTAAATGCGCTTGAATAAATTATCAAGTCTGTATAATGCGCCTGGAAAATCGCGTTTATTTTATATACTCAAAATAGCAGAGAAAACGGAGAAGACGAGCTTTGACTAAAACAACAAGATTTGTTTTTCTTGGTATACATTTATTAATTAGTTTTGATAAAAAAATTTGTTCAGACGTTTTTTTTTAACATACTCTTTCATATGAACACAACATGTCTCGGGACTTGGTAGTCCCTTTAAGTAGAAACTTTTACTTTTTTTTTAAGAATGTAATCAAGGTGAGTTCCCTTCATACTACTTATACACTGAGTAGGCGGAACCGAGATTTGAACCTGCAATCATTCTGCTATGGCTAATAATAATTCCTAACTTTAACAGTGCTCTAATCAACTTAGCTATCCCGGTTATAAATTTTTATATATATATATATATATATATATATATATATATATATATATATATATATATATATATATATGTATATATATATATATATTTTAATTTCAGCTGATGATATAGTAATACTTTGATGTTATATAATGCCAACCAGAATTAGCGTTGAACCATGGATCTCTAGCTTCTTAGGAAAGCACAGTAACCATTGCGCTACGGCTGCTAAAATATATAAATATACTAATATATAAATTTCTAAAAATTAATCTTAAAAATAAAATTAATATTAGCATCTAAATTAATTATAATATTAATTAAGCATATCATTAAAATTGGCCGTAAACATATTTGAAAGAAAAATCATAATTTACCTATTATTAAAAAAAGAAAATAGTTCAAATTCCAATTTAGGACCGATGCACAGTGATGAGGATTAAGTAAAAAATGGCAAAAAGTCACTCAATTTTTTTTCAAATTTTATCATTTTTAGATTTAAAATGTTAAAGTAAACTACTTTTTAGTAAGAAAACAATAAAAAAAAATTCCACAAAAAATATCAAAATGTAATTTTAACATAAGATTGGTGGAAAAAAAATAAATTATGACCATAAAATTTTGACAATGTAACATATTTTTACCGTTATTTCAAACTTACTTCAAGTGTATTTTTGAATCTATAATAAATGTTATGTTAAACTACTTTGTCATTTGTAAATAAAAAGGTATTTTGATTTAATTTTAATTTTAAAAACTTGCTTTTTCATGATTTATTATTTTAAAATGTTATTTTAAATGCATAACTATAAACATAAGTACTAGCCAATTAAAAGTTCCATGTTGTTCCACTTTTAATTATGGTTTAAATAAACTATTAATCTATATTCTAAATAATTCTATAGCACTTTTTGCTCTTTTTTGCTTCTCAAAGAGATATTCCAAACTGGGTAAGGCATAGTTTTGTTAACTTCAACGCCCGCCTCTCTTTTTTTTTTAAAAAAAGACAGTTTGTAAAAATATTTAAAATGTTTACATATTTTTCGAAAATTAATAGTCATTTTATGTCTTAATCTGGCTTATATATTGTTACAAAAAGTTTTAGCTTGTGTTTTGACATGAAAAAATTGGATCTATTTTAAAAATACTCGAATTTAAATTAAATAATAAAAGACTTAATAAAATCCTTATTGAGTTTATTAAAACTTTTGAAATAATTCCTGAAGATAAATTAGATAAACTAAATAGTTTAATAAAGATTTTTATTTCTTAAGTGAAAATTAAGCTTAAAAAATACTGCAGAAACTACGAGAGATTTTTAAAGTTTGAAGCAAATTGGTTGGAGGAAAATCTCTTTGATTACGATATTGTGTCTTATCATTCAAGACAAGGAAGACCAGTTAATGATTGGGAAGATCTTGGTCAAAGAAGCAAGCCAGCAAAGATTGCAGATCTATCTAATGAACACCATATAGCTCTGTCTCTTGTTGCTTCAAAAAGTGCAAAAGTAGCAGACGAAAAAGAATTATTTTACATTTTGAAAAGAACTTCTAAATGTATTGATGTAGCTCAAATGAGAATAAGTATCAATTCTTTGATTCCCACAACAAAGAAATTAGAAGAAGCACTTGCTCTAAAAACCCAAACAAATTTAAATGATTTACAATACCAGATGTTGAGGAACTCAGCTCTTTCTCGTGATGTAAAAATATATCCTAGTCTCAAACTGCTTGGAGAAGAAAAGCTAAAATGTTATCCTGAAGGTGTTCAATTTACTGATACCTCAGCAAAAAGCTCTTTACAAAGTAGGTTGAATCATACTATTACCAGAATAATTGATATGATTGATTTTAGTGAATGTTTTGAAAAAGAAATAAACAGAATTTTGTATGTAAAAATAGGGTTTGATGGAGCCTTAAGTCAAAGCATATATAAACAAAAATTTGATATCCATAATGATACAGAAGAGATAAAACAAGAAAGTAGTCTATTTGTCACAGCTATTGTACCTCTTCTGCTTAAAGTTGAAGGTATTGACTTTTGGAAAAATTCAAAATGTTCTAGCTGCCACTTTTGTAGACCTATTCACCTGCAGTATAAAAAAGAGATTTCACATTTGTGTAAAGAAGAGACACGTGACCTTCAATCTCAAATTACTGAATTAAAATCTTTCTTAGTAGATATAAATTTTGGTGGTTCAGTGATCACTATGAAGGTTACTTTTATAATAGATTTGACAATGTTTGACGGAAAAGTAATTAACTCATTGACTAATATAAAATCATCCAAATCTTGTAATGTGTGCAGCTCTAAACCTAAAGAGATGAATAATATAGGTTTAGTGAAAATAAAACCTGAAAATAAGAAAACCCTTAAACTTGGTATTTCAAATTTGCATTGTTAGATAAGATCATTCGAGTTCATATTGCATTTAGGCTATAAAATGGAAAACCAGACATTTCAAGCCAGAACTATGAAGGAAAAGCTTTCTGTAAAGTTAAAGAAACAATTAGTTCAATCAATGTTCAGAGAAAAGTTGAGTCTCATTGTCGATCAACCTAATGTAGGTTTTGGAAACAGCAATGACAGAAATACTGCAAGAAGAGCATTTGAGAACTCTGAGATTTTTTCTGAAATAAAAGGGGTTGATATAGAAGTCATAAATAGAATGCACATTGTCCTTATTACAATATCTTCTGGGTACTATATTGACTTTGATAAATTTGAAGTTTACTGTATTGATACTGCTAAAATAATTGTTCATAAATATGGTTGGTATGTAATGCCACCAAGTATTCACAAAATACTGATACATAGTTGTTCCATTTCAAAGCAATTTGATTTGTCTATTGCTCAATATTCTGAAGAAGCTCTAGAAAGTCTTAATAAAC